TTCCCTAGATCACAGACAGGCCCATCCTCTAGCTGCCCAGGTCTGTTCCTAGGGCTACTGTGAGGCTACAGGCCAATTCCACTGGCTTAAACAAGAGCAGTTTGCTTTTTCACAGCTCTGGACATATGAAGTCTGAGTTTAGAATGTTGGCTGGCTTAGATTCTTCTAGAGCCCCTCTCCTGGCTTGTAGAGAGATGGCCATCTTCTCCTGGTACCTGCCTATATCCTTATCTCTTCTTACAGGGACATGGTCACATTGGATGGGGCCTCACTTTAATGACATGATTTAACCTATTACCCCTTATAGACCAAATACAGTTGAATTCACAGTCACAAGAGGATGACCAAATGGGCTTTACTATACAAGCTGGGGGAGACACAATGTAGCAGATAACACTGCCCCAAAGTAGAGAAAAGGGGCTCTGGCTCCTTTGGCTTCTGTCATAAGAACCAACCGCTGCTCCAGTAGGACTACACACAGGGCTTCCCTCAAAGAGAACATGTGCCAGTAGGAAAGGGGGAGTGGGCCTGGCCAGGCTAGCGCAGTGTCCTCAGCTCCTTCATATTGGAGATTCTGAACACAACTAGTAAATCAATAGTAGTAACTAGTACTAATAGTCAATAGTAGCAGTAAACACAAAGCTACAAACCAGGCATGGTGGCAGCACATCTATAATCCCAGCACTCTGGGAAGTTGAAGCAGGAGGATTCCAAGTGTGAATGCAGCCCGAGCACTTTACCAACCTTCTCTCTAAAACATAAAAGGGTGGGTCAGGGGTGTAGCTCAGGGTCCCATCACCTGCCTGGCAAAGCTGAGGTCCTCAGCTGGTTTGCCAGTACCCCCCCCATACAACAAAAAAGGAGCAAATCTCACTCTAGAGGCCCTGAGTTTAATCTGCGGTATCATGAAGAGAAAGGAAGAGAGTGAGAGATCATTGCAAAAGTTCTGGGTTCAATCCCCAGTACTACAAAATGAAAATAAATAATTTTTATTGTTGTATTTTTGGGATGTGTGTCATTTGGGCAGAGCTTGATTGAATTCACCATGTAACCCAGACTGGCCTCCAGCTCACAGCGATCCTCTTGCCAAGCCTCTTGAGTCCTGGGACTTTAGGCGTGTCACACCACGCCTGGCTCAAAAATAAATTCAAAAAAACAAGACAAACACTTCTTCTTTTTTTCCTCAGTCTTCAGCCCAAAGCCATTATGCTTCATGCTTCAGCCCCAGCACGTGAAGTTGCTCCCGAGCAGGTCATTAACAGTGGCTGGTTCCCTGATTGCTCCATTGAACACTGTTGGCGGCTCCCTCGCTGAGCTTCCCTCTTTTCTGCAGCCTTTCCTCCCTGAACAACTTTGTCAGCTCTTCTTTTGCTTGCAAAGGAAACCTCTGTGCCACACCTCTGTGTTTCTGTCGTTGGCCCTCTCCTCTTCCTCCTTTCTTCCCCTCCCTGTCACAGACAGGTTCTACCTATGTACTCCTATCTGGGTCCAAACTCACAAATTTCCTGCCTCACTCTCCCCAGTGCTGGAATTACAGGCCTGAGATACCTCACCTAGCTCTGTAATTTATCTTAACCTCAGGTCTCTGGTGAGGTTTATTGGAGCTTCTTAAATTACAGGAGGAAAGGTATGTACATTTGTATGTTTTCCTGGGAGATGGACAAATAAAGGTTTTGTGCAAAGTCAAAAGCATCAACCATGTATCTGCTAAATCATATCTTTTATCCCTCTTGTCTCCTAAGTTCCAACTCCCTATTTTGTTATTATTATTTTTTTAATCTTTACCTGAGCTCTCAACAACTATTTTCACACTGAACAATATCGAAAAGAGCCAAATGAAAGTTAAGCCTCATTCAGACCCTCCTTTCCCATCACTCCTCATGGGGAATCACCCAAGTCTTGTCAATTTCACTTTCCTTTTTGTGTGTGTGTGTGTGTGTGTGTGTGTGTGTGTTTGTTTTTTTTTTTTTTTTAGAACTGGGGATTGAACTCAGACCCTTGTGCTTGCCAGGCAAGCGCGTATTCCACTGAGCCATCTCCCAGGCCCCAAATCAGTTCTGCTTTCTTAACATTGCTTTAAATGGGATCTCCTACCTCTCCACTAGATTGTTGTAGTAACTTCCCAACTCTTCCCTCAGCCTCCAACCTCTCTTCCCTCTAATTCACTTCTTAGACTGTTATCAAAGTAATTCCTATGAAAAATAAAAATGATCATGTCATTCCCAGCCTATAGTATTTACAGTTCCCTGTGTTGTCTTACTCTGTCCCACAGACCCCCTTGTGATGGCCTCATTAGTTCTGAGTACCTAGCACACAGCAGGTCATGGGCTAATCATTGGGGATATAGTAATAAGAGGAAGGAAAGAGAAAGCAGAAAGGACAAAAGAGGGCCAGCCAAATAGCTCAGTGGATTAAAACACCTGCAAGCAGGTGCAGGGGCCAGGGGTTCAATCCCTGGGCCTGCCATGCTGGCCCTACCCCCCGAGTACACTGAGATGGCAATTGAGACTGGGCGTGGTGGTGTGCCTGTAATCCCAGCTCTTTCAAGGCTGTAAACAGGTGGATCACTAGGAGTCTGATCTAGTAGTGAGACCCTGAATATTCTGTAGACCCTTCCCTAAAATAAAAAATAAAAATAAAAATAAGTGGACAAAAGAAAAAGTGAGCATAAAGGAAACACTTCAGTATAAGATAGCCTAAGACCATCTGGCCCTCTCTAAAAATTTTGTAATTTACCTATTTTTTTTTTATGAGCAGAATATATTTATTGAGGGAAAGGAAGCTCCTGTCTGAGAGAGCTTTGTCTGTGAAGGACAGGAGGGGGGCCCGAGTGGGTTGTCCCCCCGTAATTTACCTATTGATAGATTTTTTTTTCAGGTGTTGGAGCAGCAGAGAAATGGGTAGAAAAGGGAAAGGAAAGGGGCTTTATCGTCTTTGAGGACATGGAGAGAACCTGGGGAAGGTGGGAGATTCTCTGGAGTTGAACAAGGGGAGACTGAGGCTTTTATGGCCTTTTATCAAGGGTGAAGTTTGAGGGGGATGTTTAGATAGACCAGAGGAGCTGACTGGGGCCTTCCCTGAGGCCGCAGGAAGGGTGAAAGGAAATTGCACCTTGGGCTGAGTTGGAGAAGAAGGGGGGAGGTGGTCTTGGGAAGATGAGCTGTTGTTTCAAGGCCTCAGCCAAATTAGATGACCACCATGATGAGTCAGCAATTTATACTAGGGCCAGAACCTATCACTGTAAAATTAACTCTTACAGCAAGCGATATCCCTCAACTTGAGGACTGCTCAACAAGCACTTTGTGAAAATGCATGATTTTGAGGCTGCTGCGGTCCCTTTCTGTCCTCCTGTGCTGTTTCCCTCCTCTCTAGCTGGTCCCCATCTGCAGCTACCAATTCCTCTCTTGAGAGCCACCAACAGAGGATATGTCAGAAAAGCAAATGAAACCTCCAAGAAGGAAGACTAAAGTGAACACTCCAAAACCACATATTACAGGGCAGAAAGTCACGGGGAAACTGGAGAAAACGTCCACCCTTCTGGTCAGAGACCATTCACAGCCTTGCGGGCGTCTCTTCTCTTTTAGGTTCCATGAGACACTATGTACCCAGAAAGGCGCCTGGATCTTGCCAGATGCCAGTGAACCACCTGCGGCCCAGCACTGGCAGTCCTGGGACGTCTGATTCCTGGCTTTAGGGGAGAGGCTGTGCAGGAATGCCTGTGGGACCAGGAGGAGGAGGGGAGGGGAGGTAGTCAATATCACCTAAGAACAAAACAAAGCACAACCAATAAAACCTGCAGGGTGGTCGTTGGAAGGTCATAGAGTGGAAAATGCCTGCAGGGAGGTCAGCAGGCCCTGTGCCAGCCCTGCCTGCACACTATCCTCCTTGACCCTCACTTCACACACTTGTGTGCTGTTCACCTGAGCCAGCTGAGAGCTGCCCAGGTGTCAAGGAACCCACAAGAGGAGCAGCACGACCCGCAGAATCATTTCATTTTGTCTGCGACCTGGGCTGATGCAACAGCAAACAAGGTGAGGATTGGAGCAGGGTGGGTGTGTGGATGCGGCATAATGCACAATCACAGTGAATATTTTGATCCTTTTAACTAAAAGACACAGTGCCCTTGATCCCTTTCAAAATCCTCCCCTTCACGTCAAGCAACTTATCCTGCTGCTCTTGTCTTCTTTCTGAAGCGGTTCTGGGGCTAGGGATGAAGCTCTGTGACAAAGCATTTGCCTAAGGGACTTCTGGAAGTCCTCTTTGTGAGGGCTTTTAGGCCTGCAGTCCTCACAGCCTCACTGTCCAAAATCAGTTCAAGATGTTTGCCTTTCATGGTCATTTTTACTTTGAAAAAGAACCACAAGTCACACAGTGCCAGTCTCCGTGAATAAGGTGCCTGGGGACAGACGTAATGTTTCTAAAGGACTGCCTTTCCTTAGAAGGCACTCAGCAGCAGAACTCACCTTTTTTTTTTTTTTTTTTTTTTTTTTTTTTTTTTTTTGGTCACACCTCATAAAGACATTCAGAAGAGAGGACTTTCAGAACTGCTTCAGAAAACACCAAGAATAATGGGTGTGTTTGGACTTAGGAAGTTGCTTTGAAGGAGGATGAATGGCAATGTGTTGTTTACTGTACTAATTTTTAAAATTTAAAATGTATTTTGGCCACACTTCATATGTGTTGGGGGGCCACCGGAAAGAGAAGAAGAGGTTGACAATCTCACCACTTCCTGGCCACCCACCTCCACTGTTGCTGATAAGGAGCCCTGGGATCTGGTCATTTGACCCGCAGACCCGTGCTGGCTTGGGTCCCTGAGGTGCCAGGACCTCCCTGAGCTTCTGGTAACATTGGGGCTGAGGTTCCTGGGTCTAGGTGGACTCCAGAGCTTGGGACAGGCATCCTGAGGTGGCTGAGGGAGGACTGTGGTAGCTTCTGTGTGTCTCCCCTGGATGCTTGGCGGGGCCACCTGAGGGTCAGCCCCTCAAGGGTCAGCCGCTCGCAGCTCCTCCAGGCTCTTCCCTGCCTGCTCCTCCTTCGCCATGGGGCTCAGGGCTCACGTGTCTGAGTCTGGATTCAAAAATCAGATGACGTTCTCCGGAAAAGGAACCCAGTGAATGAAGGCCTGGGGTTGGGGAGAAGGCTATTTACTTCCTCTCTTCTAGTCTGCTAGTTCCCCTTGGGCTCCTGGTATCTGTGGGGACTTGTCACTCCAGTGCATCAGTATGTGGCACCTGCTGCCACCATCGGCCCTGCTACTTCTAGGTAAGTCTGGGTCATTCTGCCTAAGGCAGAAGCCTAAGGAAGATGCCCCAGGTTTAGCAGAAACCCTTTTGGGGCCAAGGATGGAACACACTGTCTGAGGACCAAAAAGGAGTGGAGCCTGGTCTGATTAGTGTGCTATGGAGGGATTCGGAGGGAGTTGTTTTCCCTCTGGGTCTCAATTTCCTATGTATCAATTGAAGATAGGTGTCTTCTAGTTCGAGTCAGTTTAGATAGACTTAATTTCTACTCTTGCCATGGGTCTTGGGCTAAGATTGCTCTTGTGGCTTGATTTGAGGAAATTCCATCTTTACCCTTCATACCTGAGTTTGAACAAGGAAAAAAGAATAAGGGAACAGTGTCAAAAATGGGACTTAGGTGACCATGTAGCAGGAGATACAGTCATTGGAGACCAGAAGGTAGGCATCAGGGGAGGCACCCACTCTAAGCATCTTACATCTTGGGACTCCTGGACTGACAGAGTGTTTGCCCTGATTCCTCACTCTGTCCCATATCTGATTCATGCTTTTTTTCTTTTTTTCCTGCAGTTTCATCTGTCACACAAGCTGGTGAGTTTGCTTCATAATCTTGGATTGATCAAATGGGGCACACATGGGAAGGGGGAAATGACCATCACTAGAAAAATGACTGTGGCTGGGTGGACAGGAGCCATTCTCCCATCAGTGGGGTTTGCTCCTGTGCTTCTCTGATTAGTTTTTCTCAAACTATGAGGCGAGCCAAAAATGGAGCCAAGTGCCTCCCAGCCCAGATACCTTCAGACTGAGTCACTGGCTGAGTCCCCTGCCATGGGCTCGCGCTGGCTCTGCACAGCCCTGGGAATGCTGGGGTGCAGCCTGCTCCTCATCCTCCATTCTCTTGGATCCTCAGCAGATCGCTCAAAGGCCGTGGTGCATCTGGACCCTCCATGGGTCAGGATGCTCAAGGAGGACAGTGTGACTCTGACGTGCCAGGGAGCCTACCCCCCTGAGGACAATTCCACACGCTGGTACCACAATGGAACACGCATCTCGAGCCAGAACCCCAGCTACTTCATTGGAGCTGCCAAACTTGAGCACAGTGGCACATACCAGTGCCAGACGGGCCTCTCCTTGCGCAGTGACTCAGTGAAGCTACAAGTCCACTCTGGTGAGAGGTGACATATGGCTGTGAGGGTCTTTCTCCCAACAACTGCCTGTTCCTCCTGCAACTGACCCTTTTTCTAATGGGGCAAATCATCATGCTCCAATGCCCTTTTACCCCCTTTGGTCCAGAATTTTCCGTGATTCCTTATTACCTGTCAAAATGAATCCAAGTCTAAAGATCCTATAGGTATCCCCAACCTTGCTTCTCACTTTCCTAGCCCTTCTGCTCTGACATGTTCTGAGTGTACATGTGTGTGTATGTGTGTGTGTGTGTGTGTGTGTGTATGTATCTGTCTGTGTGTATCTGTGTGTCTCCTTCATTAGACAAAAGGTCTCAGTGTAACCCAAACTCTTTTGCAGGACCCAGTCAACTTTTTCCCAAAGAGAGCTTTGTAGGTGTGTCGCCTGTCTGGCTTTTCATACTGTCCTGGGATCTGGCTGACAAGTATGCCTCTTACTAGAGCGGCTAACACAAAGGTGCAGCTTGCAGTCCCAGCACTCTGGGAGGCTGAAACAGGAGTATCAAAAGTTTGAACCCACCCTGGGCAAGTTAGTAATTTAGTGAGGCCCTATTTTTAAATATAAATAAATAAATAAATAAATAAATAAATAAAGCTGGAGACACAGCTCAGTGCAAAAGTCCAGGGCTCAATTCCCAATGTTGGAAACCCCTGAGAGCCCTGTGCTGAAAGCGGAGGCTGAAACCTGAGTTCTGTCTGTCTTTCAGACTGGGTGGTGCTCCAGACCTCTAAGTCGGCGTTCCGGGAAGGGGAGCACATTCGGTTGCGATGCCACAGCTGGAGAAACAAGCGTCTGTACAAAGTCACCTACATACAGAACGGCATACCCAAGAGGTTCTTTCATAACAATACCGAATTCCATATCCCAGAAGCCACACTCAATCACAGCGGCTCCTACTTCTGCAGGGGGCTTATCGGACAACGCAACACATCTTCTGCGGTCGTGCCCATCACTGTCGGAGGTGAGAGTGGTGCAGTCCCCGGAGATGACCTGGGGGGGATTCCTGACTCCACAGATTTCTTTTATAGAGTTCTCCCCCCAACCCCCGTGGTGACTCGGAGAGGCCCCAGAGGGCTCTGACTGCTGGATAAGCTTGTAGTGCTGTGGCAATTTAAGGGGTAGCTGAGGGGTGTCATTCACTTTGCAGTGTGACAGCAGAGGTAGAAGCCAAATTTTCTGCAGTTTGACTGGTGCTTAGCTGGGTGTGGTGGGGCATGCTGGTAACCCCAACACTCAGGAGGCTGAGGCAAAAAGATTGCTGTGAGTTGAGTACCAGACCAACCTGGGCTACATAATGAGCTCAAGGCCAGGCTAAATTGTATGTTTGTTTGCATTTTTTTTTTTTTGGTGGGGGGGCAGGGTCTTACTACACAGCTCAAACTAGTAGTGATCTTCCTGTTTTCAGCCTCCGCAGCACTGGGATTACAGGTGCGTGCCATCACACCGGGGCCTTGGATTTTGGTTTTGAGACACTGTCTGGCTATGTAGCTTACCACACCCCCTGGCCAGCCTGAACTATATAATGAGACCCTGTCTCAGAAAAATAAAGCAAGCACACAAAAACAAAACAACTGAGCTTTACCCTGACATTCATATGATGTCACACACCTGTCATGCTGGCCCATTGGTACCTACTCTCCTTTCCCACATTAATCTAACCTTGTAGATGAGCCAGACTAACAAAATCCCCTCAATGCCTCATATAAAGGGTGTGGAACCTGCCTTCTGCCCTTTGTGGTTACTTTTCTACGTGACCATGCCTGAACCATGTAGTCACTCAACACCTCAACTTCTCCAAACAGAGACTAACTTGTACCTATTGGGTACCCTTTGATGTGATTTTTTTGTATGTACCTAATGTGATGATCCTATAGTCCTTCAAGAGATTATGTGATAGGTATTGCTGAGGCCATTTTATAGATGAAGTAACTGAGGCACAATAGATAAATCAAATAACCACTGTCCCTAAGGTCACACCAAGTTCTTCAAAACCTGGATATACAACAATTAGGAGAAATGAAAGAGGGGGCCTGCCCATTAGCTCAGTTGTTTAAGTGCTTTCTTAAACAAAGCAGTCAGGCTCAGGATGATTCCCAGATACTCAGAGCAAACCCGACCTGCCCTGAAGGCATTCTGAGGCCGCAAAAAATAAATAAATAAAATAAAATAAAAATCCTTCTGCCATTTTTGGGGCCAGGGAGATGGCTCAGTGGAATAAGAGCTTCCCTGGCAAGCGCAAGGGCCTGAGTTCAATCCCCAATTCCACCAAAAAAAAAGAAAGAAAGAAAGAAAGAAAGAAAGAAAGAAAGAAAGAAAGAAAAAAGAAATGAAAGAATTGAACTGACACCCATGTCCCAGACAGAATTTTGTTTCTTTCTAATGTATTTAGTATAGGGTAGCTCAGACTCCTAGTGATCCTTCTGCTTTCAGCCTCCCCAGCACTGGGATTACATGCTTGTGCCACTGTGCCAGGATTTTTTGGCAGAGCCAGGGATTGAGCTCAGGCCCTTGCGCTTGCCAGGGAAGCACTTATTCCACTGAGCCATCTCCCCAGCCCCCCCCCCTTTTTTTTTGAGACATACTCTCACATTGTGATTTGGGCTGACCTTGAACTCACTGCCATCCTCATACCTCAGCCTCCTGTGTGTTGGGATTGCAGGCAGGGACTACCATGCTGGACTTTTTCAAATATTTTTCAGTGGCAATTGGTTGAATCTTTTTTTTTTTTTAATTTATTTTATTTATTTATTTTTGTGTGTGTGTGGCCAGCTCAGCCCACCAGGGGCCGGGGCTGGCTGGCATGTGGTGCTGGGGGATTGAACCGTGGTCCCTGTGCTTTGCTAAACTTGTTCTAAGTAAGTACTTTAGACCACTGAGCCATCTCACCAGCCCATAAGGGTTTGTTTTTTTTTTTAATTGGTTGAATCTTAAGTGCCTTCAGAACCCACAGGATGGGGGGTGGGGAGATAACTCAGTAGAATAAGTGCTTGCCTAGCAAGCATAAAGGCCTGACTTCAATCCCTGGTTCTGCCAAGAAAAGAAAAAAAGAAAAAAATACCAGGGGTTCAGAAAGTCTTTTGTACTCTCAAATGATGAAGAAACAGGGCTGGGGAGATAGTTTAGCAGTCTAAGCACCTGCCTGGCAAATGTAAGGACCCAAGTTCAATCCCTGGTAACAGATGCCATGCCAGCCCTCATGAGATCCTGCACCAAATAAGTATTTTTTTTACAAAAATGATTATGAAGGGGCTCAAAGAGGCAAATGGTGCAATGTAAATAATCAGTGAATCTGGGTAAAGGATATATGACCCTGATACCGTGGCACATGCCTGTCATCCAGCACTTGGGTGGTTGAACGATTGTCACGAATTCAAGGCCAGCCTGGGGATTCACTGAGAGACACTATCTTTCTTTCTCTCTCTCAATAAAAGGTGACAACTGATACTGAGAGCCACAAGTTTGTGCCAGTTTGTAGACAGGAGCATTGTCTGATGTTTATGTAGCTGTCACCCGGCACTCAGCAACAGCCTCACTTGCTGAGCACGCCTGCCACAACCCCACCAAACAAGCAGCAGTATGGCTGAGTGATACGCTCAGCTGGCTCGGAGCACTAGCATTGGGAAGCAGGGGAAGGAATGATCACGTCCCCAGGACCCCCTTCATTCCCAAGAGCCTGTACCTTGGCAGGTCTCAGGAGCGTTGTCCCCTGGGCACCTCACAGTTCTGCCTCAGTGACTGCCATTTGCCTCATGTCTCCCCTTCTTAGATCCAGCATCTCTGCTCATCAAACCTTCCTTTCCGTCGTGGCCCCAAATCGCCTTCTGCCTGGTGATCGGACTGCTGTTTGCAATGGACACGGGGCTGTATTTTCTTGTTCAGCGGGACCTCCGAAGATCCATGAGGGGCAAAAAAGAGTACAATGTCAAATGGAGCCAGGACCAGGACAAATGAGCCCTCAGCTCCCGGGGCAACAAAGGCAGCAGCACTGTGTCTCAAAACCTCTCTCGGATCTGCAACATCCTCATCCACCATCAGGCATACCTTCAACAGCAGGACAAACACAACTCAGAGCCTGGGCTCTGTTTTTTCTGGTTTCTAATGGAAACAAAAGACATGCAATCTTGGGAGACCCACAGTGATGCCCCAGAAGCAGCTGCAAGCCCTGGACGTCTCAGAACTGTATGTTTTCTCTCTCCCAACCACAGACTCCCAGAACAGCAATACACTGGCTCTTGCTATGTATAAAAAGTCTCATAAACAAAAGGATAACCAGCAATGTTTTGCATCCAGAGCTCTGTATTATTGGCTGTTGCAGGCCTAGTTGCTTTCAGGGAACTCCCAAGATCCTTTCAGACAGAGTGTGGGAAATGCTGAGGATAAAGCAATTAGCAGAACCCAGGGGAAGAAAATAGCTGAGAAAGAACAGGGGAGCCCAGGACAGATAGGGAGATCCCTTTCTAGGCCCAGAGATAAGACTGCTTTCTCAGCAAGAGGCACAGCGGAGTGAAGGGGAAATCGCACAGGCAAGGTGGATTTGAGTTTTCCTGAGTTGGATGGGATGTATGTGTGTGTGTGGGGGGGGGGGGTCTCTGACAGAACTGGTGTGACTGCTGGGTATATCATAATGAAGCCTTGAAATACACTGAACAGAAAATCGGCTTAGGAAGGGGGCTTGGGACTGACCGAGCGGATTCAGAAAATTACAGTCAAACACACATGTGCTGACGGAGTTATCTCAGCATCTAACCTGAGAAAATGTCAAGAAAGCGACAACCACAAGTTCACAGGAAGCAGTAGGCAGGAGGGTAGGAGGTTTGTGTTGACCGAAGTGGTAAGAATTAGAAAGAGGAGGAGCGGGAACTCTAAAACCAGCTTTTCTGCTTCCATAACTAATTTACGTAAAACTTGCTTCATGTCATTCATTAACAAGACGTGGGCTAACCGATCCTAAATGACCTTAGCTGCCCGAGCGAAGCAGCAGGGGGCAGGGGACGTGAGACTACAGCGGTTGCTTACAGAAAGAAGCTTTAGCTATCTTCGCGCTGCAGCTGCTTTTCTTGCTTTAAATGAAGTATTTTACAAGCTCCTGCGCGCTGCTTTTGGAAGACAGTAAAAACATGGCAATAAAACAACTTTTTAAAAATCTTGTTTTCCCGCCTTTTGTCAAACATTCTGTCAAGAGACTGGTTTGAATGAATGAGAAAGCCCCCTCTTCTCAGCAGCAGCGTTACCAGAATTAGGCAACTTGCTTTCAGTGCATCGCCGGCCCAAAGGAATGCACTGGGAGTGCTGCGGGCAGTACCGGGCGGCGCGGTACTCAGTGCGTCGGGGCTGTCAGCCGCAGGAGGCAGCGTGCGTGACTCGGGACCCGGGATGCGGTGCCCAGCTCGAGTCAGGAAATACAAAGGCGAGGCAGGCACAACGTTAGTGAGAAAAATTGTTCACCTCTGGATTTTTAACGTTGTACTTACTTCCTTTGACAAACAAACGCTCACAGCATCGGTTTAATGGCGTCATTTCAGTGATTCATAACACCGCTAAATTTTTTTACTAATTGCGCCTTTGGAACCGCCGAGCAAATCGTGAGAATCTCACAATGCAGTGGTGTGCGGCAGGCTCAGCTGCGGTTAGGGCCGACCAAAGGTGGCTTTTGAGTTTACAGGATTTATAGGGCAAGGTTCATAAAATGCACCTTAGCGTCCCTGGGTGGGCTCGAACCACCAACCTTTCGGTTAACAGCCGAACGCGCTAACCGATTGCGCCACAGAGACAGGCGGTGAGCAGAGCCGCAGCCGAGTCAGTTCACTGAGAAATACATTCGCCGGGTCCCAGGTGTCGGAGAAGTTGCGATCGCAGCTGCCCTAGAAGGCGACGGGGCCGGTTACCTTCACCTTCGAAAGCAAAGGTCCGCTCCAGGCGGAGCCACGCTCCAGCGCCTAGCTAAATCTGAGCCGAGACTCAGCTTCTGGCCCCAAGAGGCTGAGAAAGGGGAGCGAAGCGTTCTTTGGAGAATCGAAAACAGACGCTCTCGGGGGTTGGGAGTCCAGTCGGTGTAGCTCAAAAAACTACGCCAATTTTTTTTTTTTTTTTTTTTTCTGAGCTAAACAATTCCTGTTACGCATCTGTGCGCGCTTGTCGACTCCTAATAAGCCTACTGTGAAAATGACAAATATCGCGTCCGAGCATTCAGAGCAAAATCTAACCTAAGTAAGAGCCCTTCGTACAACAAAGTTAATCTTCGGTTCTGTGTGAAAGGCACCCAGATAGATAAGCACGCGGAATGTGTAAATGCCTTTAGCTTACGCGCCCTTCTCTCCGACTCAGCCAGACCCAAGTGCCGAAGGGCAGGAAGCCCTGAGCCCCCAGCCGTCAGCCTAGGGGGGTCACCAGGACTCAGGGCCGAGTCTCCAGGGCCGTTTTCTGTGCTACCCAAACCCCAGACACCTCCCCACAGAACTGATTTTTTTTTTTTAATTTAGATTTATTTTTCTTTTCTGCACTATTGTACTTGGTTCAGTGAGTTTGGTTTAGGTCCAGATCGAAGTGTTCTAAGATTTCAGTGAAATTAGAAACATAGACATGAGTGTGGAGAAATTATATATGCATATTATATTAAACAACTGCACGCATTTGTATTATATTCACATATATTTTCCAAATAGTATTTTTACATTTAAAAATAATTATTAGTGCATATTTACAGTGCTTAACGATTACGTTTGTGGTGAGGAATTGGGGAATTGGTCCAAGCACAGAACACAAATGAATTCTTTCTATTTACCTTGCCAAACGAATTTTTTTTTTTTTTTTTTTTTTTTTTGCGGAACTAGGGATTGAACTGAGACCCTTGCGCTTGCCAGGGAAGCACTTATTCTACTGAGCCATCTCTTCGGCCCCAACGAACTTTATTTATTTATTTTTTTAATATTTATTTAGTGTGTGGCCAGCTCAGCCCACCAGGGGGCGGGCGGGCTGGCCTGTGGTGCTGGGGGATTGAACCGAGGTCCCTGTGCTTTGCTAAGCTTGTTCTAAGTAGGTGCTTTAGACCACCGAACCATCTCACCAGCCAAATGGAATAAGGAATTTTTTTTTTTTTTTCTCCTTGAATGCCTTCAGGGCACTTTTGCATGGCTGGAGTGTTGTGGGGATCGAACTACAGCAAACTGAGGCTGCCAGCATTGTGGAAGCAGCCACTTAAAGAACTGAGCTAGGGCTGGGCCCCCTCCCCCCCCCCATGAACTTTAAACTGAGATAATTTTTTACATTTTTTTCTTTCAAATATCCTTTAATTTTTTTCTGTATTTAGGACAGGGTCTACAAGGTCTAGAGGGGCTCACTATGTAGATCAGATTCATAGTGATTCTCCTGTTTTCAGCCTCCCAAGTGCTAGGATTACAGGCATGTGCCACCACACCCAGTCTCTCAAATGTCCTTTTTAAAATAAAATTATACTCAAGATAATGGTATTTGTTGTGGGTGTGCTTGTTTTGTTAATTATCTAACTTGGAAAGGTGAAAAGTTGACAACTGTGTACCACTAGCCAACACTTTTGTTGGAAATTCAGCTCATCTGTTGAGTCCAGGTTTGGGAACAGCTACTCTAAGCCTCACCTTTGTTAGATTAGCAGTAAAAATAGGAACTGTTGCTTTTCAGTTTATTCCAAATACTGAGCATTTCCTGTGCTTCATTTTAATGCAAATGACAGCAATCCAAAAGGAGACAAGAAGAAATAGAAGAAACATTGGTATTTGTAGTATTGTATTTATATAAATACAAATATATTGATTATTATAACTGATGGGTTCTGGCTCTAGTATAAATTGCTAAAATCATTATGGTGGTCATCTAATATGGCCGATGCCCTTAAAACAAAAGCCCATTTCCCCAAGACCTCCTCCTCCTTCTTCTCCAACTTCTCCATAATTTCCTTTCACCCTTCCCACCGCCTCAGAGAAGACTCCCAGTCAGCTCCTTCAGGTGTATCTAAGCACCCCCTCCAAACTCCACCCCTGACAAAAGCCTGTAAAAGCCTCAGCCTCCCTTTATTCCAGTTGAGAGAATTCCTTATCCTTCCCCACATTCTCTCAGTGTCCTCAAAGAAAATAAAATCCCTTTCCCTTCTTCCTCTGCCTGTTTCTCTGCTGCACTGTTATTGGTAGTACCTATCAATACAACTATAAATGGACAAAACTTGCCAGTTAAAAGACAAAGTAGATTTTTGAAATTAAATGTATTTGGTAATATATTAATACATAAGTAAACAGAAAAATGTAATAGAAAAGAATATGCCAGGAGTAATCTAACAAAAGAAAGATGATATAAACTATATAATTCAGACAAAATAAAAAGTTGAAAAAACAACATGTGCCTAGGAATGAAGATGATCACTGTAATAAAAGATTAAACTCACTGTGAACAGATAGTAATTCCACACATATACATACCTAATAAAATAGCATTCAAATATAAAATCAAAAATTATTAGATTTAGGGCTGGTGAGATGGCTCAGTGGTCTAAAGCACCTACTTAGAACAAACTAAGCTAAGCAAAGCAAAGCACAGGGACCACGGTTCAATCCCCAGCACCAACATGCCAGCCAGCCCCGCCCCCTGCTGGGCTGAGCTGGCCATGCACACACACAATAAATAAATGTAATAAATAAGAATAAATAAATATTTAAAAAAAATTATTAGATTTAAAACTTGAAACAAATGCCTTGCTGCAGCAAGAGAGTTCAATGTACTTCTCTCCACCCTTGACAAGTCAAACCAAAAAACTTTTTTTTTCAGAAAAAAAATTATTAAGAATATGAATCCAGCACTTGAGCAAAGTTGATATAACAGATTAGATGGCAACTGAGGGGGCAGTGGAAACAGAGGGAAGGTTTGAGGCTAAAGGGCCTGAGAGACAGGCGCCATCTCTTTCTATGTCTATTGAATTTCACCTTTATTTTATGGGACAAGAATTTTTCTTTTAGTGTTTTTAACTTTACAGGGCATTAACAATATTCTTTTTTTTTTTTTTTTTTTTTTCTTCTCGGTACTGGGGATTGAAATTAGGACCTTGCGCTTTCCAGGCAAGCACATTTTCTACTGAGCTATCTCCCTAGCCCCAACAATATTCATTTTAATAATAGAGGAATAACTAATGTTTTCTGATTACCAGGTACCATTCTAAATGCTCATTAACCCTTCCAGAATTGGAATTATCATCAGTATCCTCTTTTACAGCTGAGTAAATGAGACAAAATGCTTAAACACAAGAAACG